TTGGATATCATTTTTTAACATCGTGTTTTTTATTTTCACATTAACATAATATATATAAAAATATGGAAAGTAAAATATCTGATTAACCTCCAAATACTTGGTTCCTTTATAAATGTTCTATTGGCGCGCGCCTAGCAAATTGAATCTTGGGTATATTATTATTTTCTTTCTTGATTTTATTTGTTTTGGTGGGATATATATATATATAGATATACATATATATTAATAGGCCTGGACATTCGGATTTCGGATCGGATTCGGTTTGAATTTATTCGGATTCAGATAATTCTGGTAGGATAGTTTATTATCCATTCGGATTTTATGACTATTCGGATCGGGTTCGGTTCGGATAGTGTCGGATTCAAATTGGTTTCAGATCGGTTTTCGAGAAAGAAAAAAACTAAAAAATGTTCAATTTAAATAAAAAATAGTTTAATTTTACTAAAATTTGACAAAGTTTTACAAAAATATGTATTAACAAATATAACTAAAAATTTCCAATATCTAGGTTATTTAGAATATTTTGTTATTTGTTATAAAATTATAGCTAAATATAACTAATATTTTTGGATATATAATTTTATTTTCGGTTTTCGGTTCGGATCGGGTTCGGTTCGGATAATTCGGATAGGAGAATTCATTATCCGTTCGGGTTTTGTGACTATTCGGTTCGGGTTCGGAACCGGATTTTTCGGATTGGTTTCGGATCGGTTTTCGGATTTTATGCCCAAACCTACTTTGGATAGTACACACTTACTATACAATAAAAGAAATATTGAAAAGTAACGTGTAACATGTTATTTTATGTAAACAAACATAAAATATAATGTTATATCAACAAAACATGTTATTCTAAGTTTATAAAAAAAAAACATGTTATTCTATTGAACAAACAATATTATTTGATACAATATATTTTACATTTAAGTATTGATCAGATGAAAAAAAATATATCTGGAAAAATGCTTTGATAATTTATATATATTGCCTTTACCAAAATGAAATTTGTATACTTCGGATGAAATGTATGTCTTGTGATGAGTTCGTTACGGTGATTATAAACTATGTCCTTTTTTCTCAATTATAAATTATGGCCTATCGCCTATGATTTCTCTTTTCTTTTGCCTTTCAATTTAATATTTCTAGTTTGAAGTTGATTGACTCAAAATATCCCAAGTATTCGAATCAATCAACGACAAGCAGGTCTGGTTCTGATGTAAAGAACAACAAGCTGGTGTTTTATAGTAAAATCTTAAGGCGTATTTAATTTGTAAAAATGTCTTATAGTGTAGTGGTAATTGACTTTTTTTTTTTTCTGTAGCTGGAAGATGACGAGATCGAGTCTTATTCCCACAAAATTTTAATAAATTTGTAATTTTTTTCATAATGGGAATCAAATTCTTTTAGATTTTAGGCATCGTAAAACTATGGGTCGGTCTTAACGACAAATTTTCTCCTTTTCACATTTTTTTACTTGCGAAATTTTGATCTCTTCTCCATCCTTTTTCCATGGCTTTTGATATTTCTAGCACTTGTAAATACGATTTTTTCCGGAGCTTCGGCGGGGAAGAATTCCGCAAATCATTTCTCAGTCATCTTCTTGACAACTTGTGTGATCTAGCATGACTATATATAGTGATACTCATCCCTAGCAAGTTATTGGGTTTTTCCGTTTTTGTATAGTCACGGTTTGACTTGAAGCAGTCGTTAGTGGTTAGTGGACTCTTTTCCCCGGCCGTTCTCTGACGTTCCACGATGAACCCGAGCTAATAATCAATGTAAACGAGTTCTTATACAAAGGCAGCAAGCCAGCAACAGAGTGTTGTTTCCTTTGACAAAAAAAAAAAAAAAAACAGAGTGTTGTTCCTTCTATGTTTGCTTTAGGCCTGAGATTAATATCCGCTATCCGCGAATATCCGTATCCGTATCCGGTTTTTGATCCGGAAAAACGGATACGGATACGGATGCTCTTAAAATTAGAAACGGATAACGGATATCCGGGAAAAAAAATACTTAAAAGCCTTTCATGAGTCCATTTTCAAGTGTTATAGCCCAAAAAAACTTGTAAGCCAACTTTTTTAATTGTTTTTATTTTATTTTTAATGTTAATAAATAAATCATATGACAAAAAATAAAAATAAATTTTTAAGAAGGATTTAAGAAGTTGATTAATGTCTTTTTTTTAAGAACATCATTTGAATCTTTTAAACTTTTTGCTACTTTAATAAATTTTTTGTTTTTGTAATGTTTTGTATATATAATCAACTTCTAGCTATTTTGTGATTTTTTAAAGCTTTTTATGTATGATATTAATGAATTTAGGATTTTAAAATACTATTTCCGGTTTACCAAAAAAAAAAAACACTATTTCCGGATATTCGCGGATATCCGGATTTTTAACGAATATCCGGATACCGGATATCCGGAATTTCGGATCCGGATACAGATACCAAATTAGCGGATAATACGGATACAGATACAGATACGGATATCCTAAAAAAACCGGATATCCGCTCCGTTTACGGCCATAGTTTGCTTTCTTGGGAGAATTTAGATGTTTATATAATAAAAACCCCTAATTTTGTAAAAAGGCCTTAGAGAGTTTAAAAAGGCCAAGCCTTTGGGCCCATTAAAGTGGTCGTTGTCTCGTTGATTCGAAACCTATGTTAAGAGAAGTTTGACGGGTGAAAAAAGGAAAATATTCCGAAGATATACATTATTCCCTTATATTTATATATATTAAAATTAAAATAGTAGAAAGCAAAAAAATCAGAAAGCTAACGAAAAAAAAAAAAAAAACAATCTAGCAACAGAAGAAGCTTCGAGAAGACGATGGCGACGGAGATGAACGAGAATCTGATCAACTCTTTCGTCGAGATAACTTCTTCATCAAGAGAAGAAGCTACTTTCTTCCTCGAAAGTCACCGTTGGAATCTAGACGCTGCCGTTTCAACTTTCCTCGATAACGATGCCGCCGCAGCCGCAATCGCCGAACCAAACCCTACCGGACCACCACCGATTGCCGCTGCACAATCTCCTTCTCAATCTCACTCTTCCGATTACACTCCTTCTGAAACCTCTCCTTCTCCTTCGCGATCACGATCTCCTTCTCCGTCTTCTCGCGCTGCTCCCTACGGTCTCCGATCGAGAGGCGGTGCTGGAGAGAATAAAGAAAGTGAGAATCCGTCTGGTAGTCGGACTTCTAGGAGTCGTCAACACGCTGGGAATATCCGTACGTTCGCCGATCTGAACCGTTCTCCGGCTGATGGTGAGGGCAGTGATTCTGATGAAGCCAATGAGTATTATACTGGTGGACAAAAGAGGTAAAACTCTCTACTCAATTCTTGATTGTTTGTTAAAGTAGATCTGATCATAGTTTGGGAAGTACTTAGATGAGAATAGTGTTTAGAAAGGTAAATTAGGGCAATGATCATGAATTTGAACAATGTGCTTTCTTGAAGAGAGTAATTGTTTCCAAAATCTGAAGAATTTTGCTATTGATAGATCAATGATGATGTAGGGATTGACCATATCTTGTGTTTAGCTGGAGGAAGTTTATATATGTGTAGCTAACAGAGTTTTCTTTGGATTGTGCAATGTGTTTTAGTGGGATGATGGTACAAGATCCTAAGAAAGCGAAAGACGTTGATGCACTATTTGACCAAGCTAGGCAATCAGCTGTAGACAGACCTGTTGAACCATCAAGAGCACCTTCTACAAGCTTCACTGGAGCTGCACGATTGTTGTCTGGTGAAGCTGTTTCGTCTTCTCCTCAGCAACAACAGCAAGAGCAGCCTCAAAGGATTATGCACACCATCACTTTCTGGTTGAATGGTTTCACTGTTGATGATGGTCCGTTAAGGGGGTTTACTGATCCTGAAAACGCAGCTTTTATGAATGTAATATCCAAATCTTTCTCTCATTAATAATTACTTGGATACTTTTGGAATCCTTAATATATATATGTTGTCTTTTGCAGAGCATCTCAAGGTCAGAGTGCCCCAGCGAACTCGAACCAGCAGATAGGAAGATCCCTGTTCATGTCGACCTTGTCAGGCGTGGAGAAAATTTCACCGTAAGTCTCATTCCCATCTCTCAGTAATATTCTCGTTAACCGATTCTCTGGATAAGCCACTCGGGTAGGATATTGCTATCATATTTTCAAGGATTCATTTAACGTCTCTTATCTCTTGACTCACAGGAACCACCAAAGCCCAAGAATCCATTCCAAGGTGTAGGAAGAACCCTAGGAGCCAGTGGATCTGGATCAAGTTCAGCACCACAAGCTTCATCCGCCCCAATGAACGCAGCACCAGCACCATCAAGAGGGCTAGTTGTAGATCCAGCAGCACCGACAACCTCTATCCAGCTCAGATTAGCAGACGGAACACGCCTTGTCTCCAGGTTCAACAACCACCACACCGTCAGAGACGTACGTGGGTTCATCGACGCTTCTAGACCCGGTGGCTCCAAAGAGTATCAGTTACTAACCATGGGGTTCCCTCCTAAACAATTGACAGACTTGGACCAAACCATCGAGCAAGCTGGTATTGCTAATGCCGTCGTCATCCAGAAATTCTAGACTTATACTGATCATCCCTTCGATTCATGTCTCTCTTTTTTTTTGCTTTTAAGTGTTCTTGAACCTTATCGTTGACTCAACTATTTTAGTCAACGATCCAAAGGCTTTGGGTTTTCGTAGATTCATCAACTCTTTTCTTCAGATTTAATCACTTTAGCAGTTTAGCTTTTGCATAATTATTTATTTCATCGCTTCTATCGACTCAACCACCAATATCTTTTTTAGACAGAATAATCTAAAAAAAGATTATCCAATGAGCAAATTACTTATATCCTTGGACTCGTGAATTGACGAATTGACCAGTTGCTGCATAAACTCCACACACATACGCTCTCCTCCAATCAGGGACATAAAGGTAAATTGACCTACCTGCCCATCTGTCCATTTTCCTTGTTCTCTTCAAAATTTTTTATTTTTTTAAAAAACAATTCTCTAATGTCTGTTATTCGGAATCCGAAGAAAGCCAGAGGTATAGAGATTTACAGTGAAAATCTACAGAAGGAGAGATAGCGAAGGGAGAGGGACAATTATTTAAAAAAAAAATCGTATTTTTGTTTTAATTACAACCTTAATCTTCGTGTTGTGTTCTGTATCTTCCCAGATTTTTTTTCTCTTTGCTGGGCTTCGTTGCCTTTTCCTCTTTTTCTCTTTCCTCTGCTCTCGATTCAGTTTAGGGTAAGAAAAAGGAGCTGTTTTTTTTACAGGGTTTATCACAAAGATCCTTCTTTTAGGGTTCTTTGATTTCATTTCTAGTGCCCAGATCTCTCTCTCTCTACTCATCTGCCATTTGTAAGCTCTTTCTTCTTCTTCTTCTTCTTCCTCTCGCTCTTTATCTCTCCAAAGTTTACATTTTTTTGTTGTTTTCTCAAGTTAATCTTTGATTCTAGTTGTGAGATTGTTTTTCCGCTTTTGATTTTGGGTTTTTGTCTGCATGCAGGGCTGTGTTCAATGATTAGGGTTTACATTTAGAACCAAAGCTTGGGTTTTTAACTGGTAACTAGTTTAGGCTTGTGGCGAAGTAGAGAAAAAAAAGAGGGGGTTTTGGCTCTTTTATTGGCGATAATTTAGGGTTTCTGTAATTATGATCAAGCAGATATTTGGGAAATTACCCAGAAAACCTTCGAAATCATCGCATAATGACTCAAATCCAAACGGAGAAGGTGGGGTTAATTCATATCACATTCCCAATTCGGGTACTAGTATCTCGAAGCCTACATCGAAATCGTCAGCATCGAATTCGAATGGAGCAAATGGGACTGTTATTGCTCCTTCCTCAACGAGTTCTAACAGAACGAATCAAGTCAATGGGGTTTATGAAGCATTGCCAAGCTTTAGAGATGTTCCTAGCTCGGAGAAACCTAATCTGTTTATCAAGAAGTTGAGTTTGTGTTGCGTTGTTTTCGACTTTAGTGATCCGTCCAAGAATCTGAGAGAGAAAGAGATAAAGAGACAGACTTTGCTGGAGCTTGTTGATTATATTGCAACGGTTTCTTCAAAGTTGAGTGATGCTGCGATGCAAGAGATTGCGAAAGTAGCTGTGGTTAATCTTTTCAGGACGTTTCCTTCTGCGAATCATGAGAGTAAAATTCTTGAAACGCTTGATGTGGATGATGAGGAACCTGCTTTAGAGCCGGCTTGGCCTCATCTTCAAGTTGTTTATGAGCTTCTTCTCAGATTTGTGGCCTCGCCTATGACTGACGCGAAGCTTGCAAAGAGATATATTGACCATTCGTTCGTCTTGAAGCTCTTGGATTTGTTTGACTCTGAAGACCAAAGAGAGAGGGAATATCTAAAGACCATTCTGCATCGGATATACGGGAAATTCATGGTACACCGACCCTTTATCAGAAAGGCCATCAACAATATCTTCTACAGATTCATTTTTGAAACTGAAAAGCATAACGGAATTGCAGAGTTGCTTGAGATTCTAGGAAGTATAATCAACGGTTTCGCTTTGCCGTTAAAAGAGGAACATAAGCTCTTCCTAATCCGGGCCTTGATTCCACTCCACAGACCTAAATGTGCATCTGCCTATCATCAACAGCTCTCTTATTGCATTGTTCAATTTGTAGAGAAAGACTTTAAGCTTGCCGATACCGTCATTAGAGGCCTTCTAAAGTATTGGCCTGTGACTAACAGTTCAAAGGAAGTTATGTTTCTTGGGGAGTTGGAAGAAGTTTTGGAAGCAACTCAAGCAGCTGAGTTTCAGCGATGTATGGTTCCTTTATTCCGTCAAATCGCCCGATGCCTCAACAGTTCACATTTTCAGGTTCGACTCTTGATTTGTTAAAAGTAGTGCTATAAATAAGTTGTTCATATAGCGTCGCAATTTTGCAAGTTTGAGGAAGAGGAGTTGTTAGATTCAAAGTTGCTTCTTTTGTCAGGTGGCTGAAAGGGCTCTGTTTCTGTGGAACAACGATCACATAAGAAACCTGATTACTCAAAACCATAAAGTGATAATGCCAATCGTATTCCCGGCTATGGAGAGAAACACACGGGGCCATTGGAACCAAGCAGTTCAGAGTCTGACTTTGAATGTGAGAAAGGTATTGGCAGAGACAGACCAAATTCTGTTTGATGAATGCTTAGCCAAGTTCCAAGAAGATGAAGCAAATGAAAACGAGGTTGTAGCCAAACGAGAAGCAACATGGAAGCTTTTGGAAGATTTGGCAGCTTCCAAATCCGTAAGCAACGAGGCAGTACTCGTCCCCAGATTCTCATCTTCGGTTACTCTTACAACCGGTAAAACTTCGGGTAGTTGATCTTTTTTCTGCTCTTTATTACCGAGACAATACTTTCAAACAATCCAGCAGAGTTGTATCGATCCATTCGAGCATCAGGATCAGTCCTTGAAGGGAGAAGATTAAGCACAATGATTAAGAAGGCAATATCATCAGTGAATACTTGTAACATTTTTTTCAGGTTTCTGGATTCATGGGTTCAATTGTTTGTTGCTTCTGATCTGTTTTTTCTCTCTTACTCAGCTCTTAGAGGAGTTGAAAAACAATCTGTGGTGTAAGAAATATGGCTTATAGATATAGTTCTTGAGAGGACGACTAAACAATTATTCGTATTTGTACTGTGGAATGAATTGTATTTTATGCTTTGAGGTTCTCCACTATTAACCGAATCGAAACCGAAGTTACCGTTTCTCGGTTTGGTACGGTTTATATGCATAGGGCTATTTTGAATTACTCGTGTTTGGAAGCAGCTGGAATGCAGGTATGTGTCACTAAATCAAATAACCTCTATGTTCTAAAAAAGTCATGAAATCTAATTTATTTACGAAGATATTACCACAGCATTTTTGCAAATATTAAGTATGGTGAGATTTTTTACCTTAATTACCATTTATTTAATCAAATTCATCTTTTCTAGTGAAGAATCCTTTATTATTTGTTCTTAGTCAATGAGTGGTATTCAATTTCATTGTCACGGCCTACTCAACAACCCAATCTTACCAAGTCAAAGTCAACTTTATTTTGTTTCTCTTTTCTCCGTTTCCACCCCAAATTTGTAATTTCTAAACATGATGTTTCTTTATAGATTTCTTATTCCTAAAAGGATTTGTAAATTAACCAAATTTGCATTTTAAAATATTTTTTTTTTTATCTATGTTGGTATTAAATTTGGAACAATTTTTTTTTATAACGAAATACAATAATATCGAAGATTATTATATCGATTTTCCTTTTTTCTTTTTTTTTATTCGCATCGCCGCATCTATATTCGGATATAGTAAGCAGGTTTTTTGGCAAGAGTTTATGGAAGTCCGCTTCGATTAAAGCATCGAAACCAAAATCCAAACATGTGGGAGTTTCGGTTTTATTTTCTAGTTTTTTATTTTTTTTTGTCAACAGCTATTTTCTAGTTATATTATACCTTTTATTTTTTAGGAGATAATAAAACTTAGCAATTTATTATCTAATCTAATAACCTTCATTGAAAATATAAACTGGATTTGAAAATACAATGTAATATTATTTATTTATGATATAAAAACAAAAACTTAAAATGGTATTTAAGTATTCTTAGTGTCAAACAGAGGAAATATATGATATATATGTAATTAACTAGTCAAAATCTGCTGTGATAATGACCTATTCTAAAAATTGATGAGAATCTACTATATTAAATAACTAAAATAATAGATTATTGACAAGTATAACAAAATTGAAATCATAACAACTATTTCAAAGAAGACGTGTATAAAAAGGGAATCATAACCGGAGACTTAAGAAGAACAAGAGGCAAAAAAAACTATAGAGACTTAGACAGAGACATATATCTCCCTATCTCTCTCTCTCCCTCTTCAAACGCAACATCTTGTCTCTATGGGATCGCAACTCTCAAACACAGTCGTCGAAGGTGAAGATAACACCAAAACCATCGGATCAACCGCTCCGGACCAGCTTTTGGAGATCGAATCCTTGGAGAAGATCTTAAATTACAAGTTCAAAGACAAGAGATTGTTGGTGCAAGCGTTTACAGACGCTAGTTACGTTGATGATAAGTGTGATTCGTACGAAATCCTAGAACTTTTAGGAGATTCGATCCTAAATATGAGTATAATCGATGAGTTTATTAAGCTCTACCCTAAAGAATCACCTGGTCCGTTGACCAAGCTCCGAGCCGTTAACGTAGACACCGAGAAATTGGCCCGGGTCGCTGTAAAACACCAACTCTATCGCTACCTCCGTCATAAGAAACCCTTGCTTGAGGAGCAAGTAAGTTACATTCTTAAAACCCCTAGTAATTAACCGTGTTTAGTCTTATAAATTCCATTTATTATCCTCAATCATGTCTTACTGCAATATGGTTGATTAAATGATAGACAAAATAAATATGAGAAAATAAATTTCATCACTTTTTTGTCAACTTGTTTTTTATTTTTTCTACATTCTCTATTTCAATTTCATCCACAAATTTGTCTCAATAAATGTTTTTGTTTATTTCATAGCCCTTGGGCTTAATATATATTTATCGACAATATTCTATAATAAAAACATTTGTATTGGTTGTGAGTTATACGTGACTTACATTGATGAGATTTTCATATAACTAATATATGCAGATACTGGAATTTGTGGAAGCCATGGAAAAATATCCACTACATTCAAATGGTCTTTTGAAAGTTCCTAAAGTTCTAGCAGACATAGTAGAGTCTACCATTGGAGCTCTCTTCAGGGACTGCAACTCCACTGAGACCGTCTGGGAGGTAACTTACTATACATACATATGTTATAAATATCTAGTTACTAGATTTAGGTAATTGATTCATCCATATATAGGTGATAAAACCATTGTTGGAGCCAATCATACCTTTAGACAAAATGAAGAGCCATCCAATGACAGAACTTAATGAGATGTGTCAGAAGAGGAACTTGAAATTGACGCCCAAAGACACTTGGGAAGAAAATCAAACCTATTGTTTCCATATTGAGGATAAGTTCGTTGGATGTGGACAACATCCTGTGAAGAAAGAAACTGCTCGTAATTTCGCTGCAAAAAATGCTATCGACAATTTTTCTAAATTCTTCGGAGACCTTTAGTTATATGAATTTGTATCAAAATAAAAACAAAAATTGTATTTTATAAATTTCTACAGGAGAAATTGTACTATCTTTGTGTTTTCTTTTTGTTATAGTAAACAAAAAGAAAACACAGATATATGCATAATGCATGGTACTGTCTTTGTATTTGAACTAGCTTGTGTTAAATAAAATTCATCTTTTCATTTTTCTTATGAATGGTGTGAAAGACGTCAAAAAAAAAGAAGAAACGACAAAAAAAAAGAATGATGTGAATATGAACCTAGCCATGTTGAAATGGTACGTATAACTGTATAAGCATGCTATATATACCATAAATGGTATAAGCATACATGAGAGTGTCACTCGAGAACCGGAGGATATCATTTGTAAATCTTGGTTAGAGACCCAAATTACCTCTGATCAAGTTCGGGAGAAGATAAATCTGGTGATATGGATCATGGAATAGCACACATATATAACAAAAATAGTTTATTCATAAAACTAGATATAATTTATTCATAAAATACAAAGATATCCAATCACATCATGTAACAAACACAAATAAGTTTACTTTTGCTTAAGAAGACACCGGATCTACGTAGACCACAAATATCAAAGTACGTTTATAAAGGAAACCAAAGTTCACACTCAATCATCATTCAACAAGGTGGGTTAATACCTTCACGCATGCACAAGTGATGGAAAGACAATGAGAGGGAATTTGCGGCAAACATCAATACCAGATGCTTCAACTAGGTCAGGCTTATCATCTCCCCCTGGTCCGACCTCGAGTCTCCAATTGAACCTTTTCGCAAGGTTGGCTAGTGTCAATTTGGACAAGACCATAGAAAATCCGATCCCGGGGCAAAGGCTTCTTCCTGCTCCAAATGGAACGAACTTGGAATCAGTACCATTAAAATCCAAGTTCAAACCAAAATGCCTCTCTGGTCTATATTCTTCTGCATCATGTCCCCATATCGAAGGGTTTCGTTGGAGTGCCCAAGCATTGATTATTACCTGTGTTCCAAGCATTATATATTTTTTACATGATCTAGGTTTAGTTAGTCTTATATGATTTTAAAAAATATATTACCTGTGTCCCTGCAGCAATGTCATATATCTTTAGTTGGACATCTTCAGTCGATGTCTGGTCAATAATGGACCAGAAGGATGTAACCGTAGTCCCTCCTTGATCACACAATGTAAATAGTCCATTTTCTCAACTTCTTTCTCTGTTACATTTGAATTATGCGTCGAAACTGAATTAATCTCATCTTGAAGTTTTTTCATACACTCTGGATGCCTCATAAATTCTGTCATTGTCCATTCTAGTTGTGAGGCGGTTGTTGCGGTTCCGGAAAAAAACATATCCTGAAAAACCAAGGAATAAAAAAAATTGTTTTAGCTATTGATTGGTACATAATTTGTAAGAGGTCTTTTGAATCCAAATAAAGTCTACTTTTCAATACATAGGAAAGACATTCGTTTTCGCTACCATGGAGACGGTGGTAACTTACGTTTGGTGGTGGTGATTCGTTTGAGGAGTGGTGTTAGGAAGAGTAGGGCTATGAAGGTAGCTAAGCACAAATAGATTAATATCATTTCCATATTATGTGTGGTTAGCAATTGTGTGATTTGAACATATCTCTACTTTGTGTTTTATAGAGTTACAACCCCGTCCCAACAACATCAAGGGTCCTAGGGCCTATATATATATATATATATATATATATTATTTTTCTTTTATCAAATTATTAAAATTTTGAATTTTTAATAATTGATCAAAATCATGGATCAATAATCTAAGAGCATGATTAAAGGCAAGCTCTTATATAAATTTTAAACTTTTCTTAACATTTAATGCAATATAATTTAATCAACTTTGTGGTTTAATGTTAAGAAACGTTAGCTAAGGAACGTTCTTTAGCTAAGAGCATATATGGACAAAATATTTTAGAAATTAAATTTAAAACATTTATGCTTTCTGTTATTTATGTTATACATTGTATCTCATGTATGTTTTAATTTTTTTAATTTGCAACCATTATTAAATTTTCTATAATTATAAATTTTATTTTTATGTTAATTTTTTTTTTCCAAAGAACCACATGTTAAGAGCCTACCATTAATAACACAAAAATCTTAGCTCAAAAACACTATCTCTTAACAATCACTTTTATATATATATATTATTTAAATATTGTTAAGAGGTATTTCTAAGATACAAACAATAATCATGCTCTAGGTGTCCCTGACGGGTTAACAAAGTAACGGTGTCTCTCATGGATAACGCCATAACGGTGTATTATTTGACGATTTTATCACAATTTGATAGGAATCTTTGTTTCCAATTATAGTTTCTAGTTCTCTCGATTTTTAAAGTATTTTTTTTTGAAAAATTATTTTATGCCAATTTTTGGGTTGAGTGTTTTTTCACAATATGCTATTATTTTGGAAAATTTGTTTCTGTTCAATTTATTTCAGTCTAAGCTTCCTTCTTTCTTGGTTTTAATGTGTTGCATCTAGAGTTTTGCAAGAAATTTTATTTTTTTATTCTTCCAAATTCCACTGAAAAAACATGAGTAGAATTATACTATCTTTATAAAAATGACCGCTACTCAAAGTTAAATCACGTTACTTTTCAGAAGATTTTTCTCTTTGCATTATTATTAGCTAGCAATGCCCGATATATAATAAACTCAATTTAGTCATCCTATTTAGGTCAATAAATATGACATTGAGTTGATTAACTCGTTTCTCTTATATATTATTACTTTAGGTTTTCTTTTTCTTTTCCAATTTATTATTTTTTTTGGTTGCTATTGACCCTTTAACAATTGTTTATGAGCTCTTGGTATGGGGGTAGGACAATTATCCTCTTAAATAATTGCTTGAATCAAAATTGGTTCTAAAGATATCTACTACATTCAAATATAAGAAAAGGACAAGAAATTGTTTAATATAGCATAAGGTTGATTATGGTAACCCAAATGGCCAAATCTTTGCCGTAACTTGAGAAATAATTTTGGACAAGTTTTATTTAGTAAAAACTATAGTGATTTACGTGGAGACGTGTGAACAAAAACACCTTCAAACATTGGATTTGATGGACCATGTACAAAATCTTTCAGAAGAATAGAGCAAATTGTAGATGACTGAAAGAGAAAGATAGCTGACGTGTAACTTGAACATCACGAAAGATTTAGGTGCTCAAGGTTTTAAAAATCTCCGTAACAAGAAAAGGACAAGAACTTTTGCTCACATAAATATCTAGGGTAAATTTTGGAAATGGTTAAAAATGTGTATGGGTATGAATACATATTTAATGGTTTTTTTTTTCTTTTTTCTTTTTCTTTCTAAACTAGGTTGATAGCCAAAATATTGAGGAAGAAATAGAGCTTGAGATGTATGGTTATGTAAGTGAGAGTGTGTGCTAAGTACAACAAGGATCGTGTTGGATAGACCGTTCGGTGAACATGGGTAAATACTAAATACTAGGATTTGGAATATGTAAGAGAAAATGATTGTTTAGATAATTTAGTTAAGTTAGTCCGTGAGTGAGGATTACTTAAAAGATTTCTCACAACGTTTGTGATTGTCACTACATTTTTTAATTTATAATTAGTATCAGAGCATGTACGCTTACGGAAGAGCTAATTACTTTACAACATGTGTGAGATCCTTTAGAGAATATGAAGACATCTACAAAAGGTAATCGTTGTTCACAAACCTTTGATGTTATATATGTTGGCATCATAGTTTGAGAAAATATGAATTAGTGATTAAGGATGTCAATTGGGTTGTCCACGTCGAAATGGGCATGTCCAAATAGACAGCTTTATTTTTTGGTTATTGATGTTTTGATGGTCAAAGTCCAAATAACACCATATCTAAATAGAACAAAACCCAAATAGTATTATGACCAACAACGCTGTTTGCAGGGTACAAATAATATGATTTTTTATTTTCTACCAAAACCGCAAAATCTAATATTCCATCCAAAAATGCAAAATAATATTTTTTCGCCAAAACCACTAAATCGCAAATCAAAATCAAAGAATTAAGTTTTCCGCAAATCGCAAATCACATTTTCTGTCAAAATTGTAAAATGTATTTGGTGGGAAACAGGAAACGAAAATTCATACTTTTGGCAGGAAACGGGAATTTATATTTTTGGCGGGAAAAAACAGAATCATGTATTAGGTGCTAAACAAAGAATTACGTTTTGGAGTAAAAATTTCACCGAGAAAGTAAGAAAATGTGAGGAATAAGTAATTAGAGTAACCCTAATTTTTAAGAGAAATTAGGAAAAAAAAAAATTCCCCAATTAGTAACCCTAATTTTTAAGGTTTCTTAGACAGCCCAAGTCCAAACGAGTTCGTTCCATTAGTTTGCAGGCTAAACTGGTTTGTTTCCCATATTAACCGTTTCGATTTTGGGTGTGACTATAACCGAACCATTATAATTTGGATTGGTCTAGCTTATGGTCATCAAACCCATTTGACATCTCTATTAGTGATGATGAGTGAAGCTTGCTAAGCTGGGCTCCAATCCAATTGAGGCACAAGTTATGGTGAAACAAAAATATTCTAAGTTGTTCACCATAAAACAATTTTGTGGTCAAAAGAGTGTTTTTTTTTTTTTTTGTGAAGGGGTCAAAAGACAGTTATGTGAAAATGAATCTAGATGAGATCAAGTTCCATGAGCTTGTTGGGTTGTAATAAATTATAAGCATATGATGAGTTAAGGTTTGAAGCTGGCCCAAGATCGGTAAAGTAGTTGCATCCGCTGCCGGTGACAAAATTGATAAGTTTCAACAAGGGAAAATATGAGCAAACTAGACAGAGAAAACGGGAAAAAGCCGAAAAATCCCGTTTAATTTTGATTTGGATATTTAATACTCAACTGTTTTCGGTTGAAAAAATACACATAGTAATTAAAGTGCGATTAATACCCAAAAAAAAAATATTATTATTTTCATACTCACGATTTCATAACAAAATAAAATTTCAATTTTACCATTATAATTTAAAGTAACTATTAATTTTTAAATGACGTGACAATCATTTTTAATTTTATTTGAATAGAAAGTAATTTTTATTTATATTTTGTTTTACTATAAAAATTACTTTTTATTCAACTTGCTGTTGAGGTTCTTGCTCTGCTTCTTCTTCAACTTCATTGATGTCGGCGAAAGTGGAATGAGCATTTGATTGTTTCCTCTCCAATGATCAGAGCAATTTGATATTTGAAACACATGAGAAGATATTTTTTCTCTAGTATGAAGAGGAAACATGTTTATGTATATAGCAAGATGCAATGCACTAAGTTTTAAAAGCAAAGTTTGTGGTTAATTAAGAAGCACAAGAAAGCTTGGTGAATGGTGTGATTTAATGTGTATGTGAACCAATACTTTCCTGGAAAGTTAATTACTTAGGTTTCTTACTTTCTTGTGAAAGTGTTCCGATCCAAACTACTTGGAAAAGGTGAAAAAAAGAAAAAAAAAAGGCTATTCCATAGGCACGAGATGCAACTGCAAACCAAAGTCAAAATGCAATTTGCTCTTCTGTCTACAAAACATAATTTGAGTCCGTTAAGTTGGACCGGTTCGGTTTAGTTGATTCGATTTCTGGTTGTTCCACTTGTTTGGTTAAAACTTTAAAAAAAAAAAAACATTTCGAAATTATAATATTTTTGGTAATTCTTATGTTGCTTTTCTTTGTATGTGATAATTTGATCGGACAGACCAAAATCTAAACTAATTGAGCAATTCGAGACTACTACGTACTATGTGAATATTGAACCTTCTGATTAAACCGACCGGTTAAGAAAAATCAAAGATTGAGGATGATCGATGAAGTACATGAGGTCTTAACCGACCGGTTCAAGATCCATTTTATAAGCACACATCCCCAGAAGCAGAATCGCATAGATGAAGATGATGATAGGAGGAAGACGTAGATTCATGTCTCCTAGTCCTCCTATCAGACTTGTGGGTGAAAAATTATTTTTATGGGATATAGAAAGCAACCAAATACCTTATAATTTTGATGATGAAGATGTTCTCGATAGCCTTACTATATATATATATATATATTTACATAATTTATAATAAAAATATATTAAGCCATTGATCCATATAGTTAGATCAATTTAACTTGGAGACCTGAAAGATAATCCGTTGATTTCTGAGTTGTGTTAAAAAGTATGTTATTAAATAAAACCGAAATACTATGTACTCTTTAAATAAAATATCTTACCTAGTATAGTGTTATTTAAGTATTGATAAATATAGTCAAATGTAGATATGTTAAACGTAAATAAACCATTAATTACTCGTCATGTGTGCAGTGGTTGTTCGAAAATGTTGAAATGTTGTATCATGATATCTTTAAATCTTATATACATTTTTGAATCATAATTTAGGAGAACAATAAATCAAAAATGTGATTAAAATACAATATGCTTAAAGATTTAATCCAAATGAAAAGTAAGATATATGTCTATATAGATGATTTCATTGGTTCACCGGAAGAAACCAAAATTTAATCATTTGATCTTCACACCTTTGCTTACCTTTGCATCGTGGTGAGGAAAATCGCAATTTTCTCCTTTCTTGCAAAAGCCTTCTGTATCGAAAGAACAAAAATATGTTCTTTTTATTCCTCGACAGTTCATGAAATCTTTTAATACATTTTTCAACCGAGTACCTTCCTCTAAACAATTCTAAGAGAAGCCTCGTGTTAGTCAGGTACAGCGATTTGTAATTCTTCTCAAAGAGCGGATCATCTTCGTTGCTTCACATGTTAAAGAAGATTCTTTAAAGAAAGAAACCAAAGTGCAATATGATTAGATCTGAATATGAAACAGATGAAATTGATTTTGGAATTTTTGTAAGATAAGGTTACGGGTATTTAAAGCAAGACAAAATAAAACATTAATAAATAAAAAGAATTTAATCACTAATTTTTCCAAATTTGAATTTACAGTTTTCTCTCTAAATAATGAGTATTTATAGACAATTTTATTGTTTTATTATCAATTTCTCTTAAATCAATTGAAATATTAATTGTTAAATGAATGTTTACTTAGTTTTTAAAAACTGTAGCTTACCCATTATAAATTATATATACAATAAAACCTCTACAAGTTAATAATGGCGGAACTAACAAAATTTATTAATTTAGAGAGGCATTAATTTATCGATAAATTAATAGTAGTTTCTTAACAAAATTCTATTATATCTCAAAAACAGTTTTTTCTTTATAAAATCAAGGGAAATTGTTAAAAATGCCCCTTTTGGTTTGCCCCTGTTCAAAAATATCCCTTTTAGATGTCCATTTTCAAAAATGCCCCTTTTTTAATTTGAAATTTTTATAAAGTTTTATTAGGTTTATAATGTACTTATAGATTGTAACTACTACTTGAAGACTCGATCCAAGTATTTATAAGGTTTTATAAGGTGTTTTTAAAGGTTTTACAAGTTATTTTAAAGAATTTTTAAGGTTTTTCAAAGGTTTTACAAGATATTTTAAAGGTTTTTAAAGGTATTTAAAATGCATTTATGAGGTATTTATAAAGTATTTATAAGATTTTAGATACATAGAAATGTAGTTTGTGTATGTTTTAATAATGTTACATACATATTTGGGTAAATCTTACATTTTTAAGAGCATTTTTTATAAGGTTTTAAAGAAAGGGTATTTTTGAAAAGTGACATTGAAAAAGGGGCATTTTTGTAAAAGCCCCATCAATCAATATCTTTCTAAAACAAATTATAAGTAGAAAAGTAATTATTAAGTTTATAAAATAATAAAATCGTTTTCGATGTAGTAAAAATATTAGAAATGAACTCTACCAAAAATTAAGAAAAACAAACAAATGTTTTAGTTTAATTATTGCTTACGGTTTATTATTTTTATATTTCTAACATTATATAATTTTATCTATAATATTATATATATCATGTGTTATGTTGTAAACATCTAAAATCACATATAAATCCCTAAGCATGCTAACCGGTGGGTCAATCCCTAATGGTTTCTGAATTTGTAGTCTGGTTTGGGCTTGGATCTAAGAAAGGCCCAGATGCTTCTAGATACTTACTTATTTGACTTAATATAATATCACAGAACAATTTCTTTTAAGCCTTCTTTTTTCTTGAAGAAGAAGAAGAGAAAATCAAACTTTCATTTTTCTGATCGCTGTGTTTCCTCCAATCTTCCATCTTCAGATTTCGAATTCCCCAGGAAATGGATTTCGAGCTTAGATCAGCGAAAGAGAAGCTTGAAAGAGAGCAGAGAGAGAGGAAACAAAGAGCGAAACTAAAGCTCGAACGAGAGAAGAAAGCCAAGGATGCTGCGATTAAGCAACGCGAAGCCATTGAAGCTTCTCAAAGAGCTAGAAGGCTTGACGCCATTGAAGCCCAGATTAAGGTCTCTATCTCTATTCTTATAATCGTTGCTTTTTGAAGTTGCCAATTTGAGTCAATCATATATATTCTCCTAGGTTTTTGAATTGGAGATTCTGTTATAAATTCTCTGTAATTGGTGTTTTGATATCTTAGAACAGTGTGATTCTAATTTTGTATTATGGGTATTGTAGATTTTGGTGCATATAACTAAAAGCTTTGACATTGATAATCTTGATTTGAAAAGTTGGCTCCTTTATCTTATTTTACTTAAAGGAACAGTTGGGTGGTTGTTGTTTCAATGGTTCTTCGGCTTTCTCTGATCATTTGCTTGTTCTTGTATTTAGGCTGATCAACATATGCAAGAGAGTTTAGTTTCTGGAGATGGGATAGTGTTTGAACGAGTTTTCCAAGCTCTTTCTTTTCAAGGAATTGGAGATAAGATTAAACTGCCACCATCGTGTTTTACGGAGTTGTCTGATCAAGGAGCTTTTGATAAAGGTCCTTTGTATTTTGAGCTCTCTGTAGTTGGCCAGGGAGATAATAAAAAGACAACACACTCTGGTGTTCTTGAGTTTACTGCTGAAGATGGTACTGTTGGGCTTCCTCCACATGTTTGGAGCAACTTGTTTTCAGCACATGATCCAATGGATGTTCCTTTGGTTGAAATTCGTTATATCCGGTTGCCTAAAGGAAGTTACGCAAAGCTTCAACCGGATAACCTTGGCTTCTCGGATTTGCCCAACCATAAAGCTATCCTCGAAACTATTCTTCGCCAACATGCTACACTTTCTCTAGATGATGTTCTCTCGGTAAATTATGGGCAGGTCTCTTACAAGCTACAGGTTCTCGAGTTAAGACCTGCCTCGAGCATTTCGGTTCTGGAGACTGACATTGAGGTTGATATAGTTAGTCCAGATATAGTTTCAGATCAGCCAAATCAGCATGTGCTAAAGCCGCTTCAAATTGGGAAATCTGAATCCGGAACAGTTGAGGAAGGGCAGTATGATTACTATAAATTTGCAGTTGACGAGGCTACTGTAGAAAATGTATTGGCAGGAAACATCAAAGTTATTGTAAAGATAGATGTGGAGAAAGACGGAGCGGATACTGATCTCTATGTATCAAAGCACCCGGTTCTATTCCCATCTCTTCATCAGCACGAGTGGTCTTCACACGATGTGGGTTCAAAGACCTTGATCTTGGGATCAAAGGAGAGGGCTTTGAGCTCAGGGACCTACAGTATAGGTGTATACGGCTTCAAAGGAACAGTCAAGTACCAGGTCTCAGTACTGGTCCAAGAAAGCAGCGATGGAGCTAAGGTTGGGGAACGGGCTATATCATCTTCGTCAGATGTTGATACAGTAGAGTGCAGGAACTGTAAGCATATGATTCCAAGTAGGAGTATCGCGTTGCACGAGGTGTACTGTAGCAGACACAACGTTGTTTGTAATCATCAAGGATGTGGAATCGTTCTCAGAGTTGAGGAGGCCAAAAACCATTTGCACTGTGAAAAATGCGGGAAAGCATTGCAGCCCACAGAGATGGAGAAACATTTAAAAGTCTTCCATGAACCACTCACTTGTGGCTGCGGAATAGTACTCGAGAAAGAACAGATGGTGCGTACATGAAACAGTTGGAACCATTTTTCTCATTACCTTGTTGTGCTCAAACTGGTTAAGTTAACACGAGATTGTGATATTGTTGCAGGTTCAACATCAAGGGAGAGATTGTCCTCTTCGCCTAATCGCGTGTAGGTTCTGTGGAGATATGGTTGAAGCGGGTAACTCTGCAGCGGATACTAGAGACAGGATGAGAGGAATGTCTGAACACGAGAGTACTTGTGGTTCAAGAACTGCACCATGCGACTCGTGTGGTCGATCTGTGATGCTTAAAGATATGGACATTCACCAGATTGCTGTTCATGGTAAGAGTAGCTAATTTCCACCATTGTTATTGAAAACTGATTGGAAAGTGTCAAATGTTTGAACAGAGAAGAAGCATTAAACCCATTTGTATTATTTATGACACAACTTGATTCTTAAAGTCACAATCCGAAATATTTTCTTTCACGAATGGATTTAGTAGAGCCCAGAGACTTAAATTGTCCAACTTTTGACTTACCAAAATTGTCGAAAATTTATACAACGACCAGAAAAAAAAAAACAATGATGCTTAATGTGCAAGTATTATTACAGTGGGTCAGTAGTAGTCACGACAATGATTGAGAGTGATTGTTTAATAGAAAGTTTTAAGAAATATAGGACCAAGTTGCTTGGTGAGAGTTTCTTTATGTATGATTTCTATTTTCTTTCTAAGTCAACTTCTGTGGCTGAAAATAGAGCAAGGAGCAAGAGATTTTGTACTTTGCAAGTTACCAGAAAATAAGTTGGAAACAAAAATTAAAAATAATTCATATATCACCAATGTCCCTTCAATTCTTAGATTAACGTCTGACCACGCATTATTAGTACTAGCTATAACCTTTTATCATGCGAATTAATTAATTTCTTGATTAATTCAAGTGGATCCAGATACTTCTTCTTAAAAGCAGTAAACGAATATATAATTAATAATGTCTTATATTCCCCTAAACTTTATTATGGCTGGGAACATATTCAAAGAGTAGTGATAGCTGAAAAGATATTCCACCGTTAACTTTATTAAACACCACTAGAAAACATTAATAGTGGTAGAAACATAATTAATGATATAGATGACATTAGTTTGAAGTTTTTTTTTTTTTTTTTTTTTCGATGTTATGAATTTTGCCATTTTTTCTATTTTCACATAAAACTTACCAATTTATCATTTTTTGCTATTTCAAAATCAATATATTTGTGAATTGATCTTATTATATAAAGTATGGTTTTCAAAGTTAGTAATTCACGTGATCGTGACACGTGACAAATCTATTGATCTTCGATTTTGCTATGTGTCAAATAAATATTTTCTTTTTAATAATTAAAAAAAAGAAAAAGATAATTATAAACTTAAACAGTTTTAAAAGTAAAAATATCACTATCAGAAAATTATACCTATAATTTCATAAGATATTTTGTCATGTGGAAAACAAAAATTTGGTTTTAACAAATTAAAAATTGTAAAAAGATAATTATAACAAAATTATAAATTTAAAGAGTTTTGTGATATAAAAATATTATTATAAAGAAACTATACGTATAGATAAAGAAATTCAATACTAGAATTTTGACGACGAAAGAGAGACATTTACAGAGAATCAGAGGAAAACACAATGTTATTTAATAAAATAACATCATACTAAAAGAAATAGGAGTAGCATGTGATTGTTAATGGAGATGACGATGGTGGTGGTTGATGATTACGGATGTGGTGATAGATTGACTTTAAAAATAATCATGAATCATATGGCGATGGAGGCAATTAAGAAATTATGAACGGTGATGGACATAGACTGGAGTTGTTGTCGGAAAGAGGCTCGGCTCGATATATGCTATAGGAGATAAAAAAGGAGGTGAAATAAGATCAGTTGGGAAAGAGGAGAAAAGGCGGTAATGGTGGTGTTGGTGATAAATAGGCCAATATTTATATTAAATGATTTATTAATTAGTATAAAATAAAAACAAATAATGTTTTATATTGTGCGTTATGCATAATAAATATGTTTAAAAAATAATTAACATGCTGCATTTTCTAAAATCAAAACATAGATGTTTATATAATTTTAGTTAAATTTAAAAAAAAAAAAGTGATAATTTCGACCAGCAACCCGTGTAACGTTGTCCATATCTAGTTTTATATAAAATACATTCTTAATAACAGACATTATACCCTAAAAAAAATACCAAATAAACCCAAACATAATGTATAAATAAATTGTGTTTTTAGTTTTTAAAAAATGATAAATCTAAAAATTTAAAGTAAAATGGCAAAATCAACAAATGTTATTAAAAAGGACTTTTTCCTAATTGATTTTTTATTTTTGCAACGTAAAGTCTTAAACACATCACACCAATGTGTGAACGGTGAACCGATGCAAATATTGGTTTCACAATCACCAACTCTTTAATCATTTAAACTTCTTTAAAAAAAAAAAACTTATGTTTATTTGTGGTACAAATGATGATTTTAATTTTAATGACGAGCAAGCAATAAACATTTACAACAAACAATTTTATCTATGTGATTAGTAAATAGTAATCACGAAAGACTACACCATATTCAAAATGAACATATTTACCCGTATCACATAAGATTACGATAAATAGAATTACTTACCGATCACCATCACGATCACGATCACGATCACGATCACGATCACATTACAATCACCATATCGTTTCTATATATAATTTATAAGAAAATACACAAAGTTTTATAGTTTTGTATATTACGGCAAAAAAACCACTATATTAAATACGGATAATGCAGATTGGATCTAAATTTCTATTTTGGCAAGAAAGTAGATTCGGACCCACTTTTACAATTTACAAACAAAAAAACTTCGTCAGCTTTTTCAATTATCCACCCAAAAAAACCATTAAAAATTTCAAAAATATCAAATAATAGTGGTTGTGATATTTCTACAAATATGTTCACACTTGCTAAAAACTAACCGTTTTTTTATTTTATTTTGGATCAACTTTATAATTATCCACGTATTTTTAACACATTAGATTTGGAATCAAAAACATCAAACGAATCATAGCCACTAGTTGTTACCCACTGAACTATAGGCAAATGAAAAAAATTCATATTTTTCTCTAGATGGAAAATAAACGTTGCCAGACAAAATCCAAAAAATTCACTACCATCTATTATTGATATGTCTTGTCTTCTTCTTTCTTTTGTGTCACGGTTTTAGTTTACTCTTGAGTCTCTCTTTCCATACCACAAGCACAAGAGCATCTTTTTATTGTTTCCTCATGTAATAAATTCACAAGGCTCACATTTTGCCAAGTCCTCAACAATTTTTTCTCCTTTTTTCTTCACGGATTTATAAACAATAAATTCGCAGTAATCTTTTTATTCGAATGAATCTTTGAACATATTTCCTAAAAACCCGGCAAGAAAAAATTCTGAATTTTTCTCATTAATTCTCCCAAAAATACAACTTTTCTTCTTCCTCTGTTTCTTCTTCTTCTTCTCTTACTGTTCTGTCTTGGTCGATTTGGAACAATAAAGCTTTGTCTTTTACCTCTTTTAAAAGGTAATTGAGTTCAAATCTGGTTTTATTTCTTCAGTGTTCTTTGTGACTGTGACATATGGCTCTTGTTTCTGTTTGGATGCCAAAAAAAAACAGAGCAAGTTGAGATTTTTTTGGAAATTTCCTACATCAACTTGCAAAGTCTGAATCTGTGTTTCTCATTCTGTTGAATCTTTTTTACAGGAAGAGTAGTTATATCTTCTTCTTGACACTCTCATGGCTACAATAAACGATATTGGAGTAGCAGCAGCAATCAATATAGTGACAGCATTAGCTTTTCTCTTAGCTTTTGCTATATTCAGGATTCAACCAGTAAATGACAGAGTCTATTTCCCTAAATGGTATCTCAAGGGCTTAAGAAGTAGTTCTATACAAACTGGTGGCTTTGGTAGCAAATTCATCAACTTGGACTTCAGATCCTATATTCGTTTCCTTAATTGGATGCCTGAAGCACTTAAAATGCCAGAACCTGAGCTCGTCGATCACGCTGGACTCGATTCTGTTGTCTACTTGAGGATCTACTTACTCGGGTATATATATACTTATGTATCTCCAAGCCCTTTTCTTTTTATCTTCTGGTTTAAGAGATTTGAGTCATGGTTTTTGATTGCAGGCTCAAGATCTTTTTCCCTATAGCTTGTGTTGCTTTTACGGCAATGGTTCCTGTTAATTGGACAAACAAGGGATTGGATCGGTTAAGACATTCTAATATAAGTTTCAGTGATATTGATAAACTCTCTTTATCAAATATACCAAATGGCTCACCTAGGTAAGAGATACACTTCTCCGAGTTTGGTGGCTTTTTCTTTGTTTCAATATGATTGAGTACTCATTTGGATCCTTCTCATCTTCTGTAGATTTTGGGTGCATTTGTGTATGGCTTATGCTATCACTTTCTGGACATGCTTTATCCTGAAAAGAGAGTACCAGAATATAGCTTTAATGAGACTACAGTTTCTTGCAAATGATCAAAGGAGACCTAACCAGTTCACTGTAATGACACTATGAATCCTTTGATGCTCTTTGAGTTTTTACTTTTGATAGAAGAAGCTGAAACCTGTTTTCTTACTGTGTTAGGTGCTGGTAAGAAACATTCCTTCAGATCCTCATGAATCAATATGTGAACTTGTTGAACATTTCTTCAAAGTCAACCATCCAGATCACTACCTCACTTTCCAGGTAAATCATCTTTCGATTTTATGTTACTAATATTATCCATCTCTGACTTGATTTCTGAGCTCATGATTCTTGATCTGCTTTTAACTCAGGCAGTCCACGATGCAACAAAACTCTCAGAATTGGTTCTGACGAGGAAACAAATGCAGAATCTGCTTGATTACAATATAAACAAACACATGAGGAATCAATCTAACAGGCCAGTAATAAAGGTAAACTCACATTTGCAAATCACATAAGCTTAAATTTCTCCTTTGCTGTTTCTCTTAAGATGCATCTCAATGTCCATAAGTAGATGGGATTTCTTGGCTGCTGTGGTGAAGAAGCTGATGGAATCAAGTATTACACGTCCGTCGTCGAGGGTCTCACAAGAGAAGTAAAGCATTCATCTTAACTTCTCTACGCTATTCTCCAACCTCATTTGCAACATATTTAATCATACTATCTTTGGATGTGTCAGATAGCTGAGGAGAAACAGAGGTTAAGGACCGGCACAAAGTCCATAGTGCCTGCAGCTTTTGTATCTTTCAAGAGCCGTTGGGGAGCAGCGGTTTGTGCTCAAACTCAACAGACAAGAAACCCAACAGAATGGCTAACCGAGTGGGCTGCAGAGCCACGTGACATTTACTATGACAATCTGGCATTGCCATATGTTGACCTTAAGATAAGGAGGCTCATAGTCGGCGTCGCATACTTCTTCCTCACCTTCTTCTTCATGATACCAATAGCATTTGTACAGTCACTTGCCAACATCGAAGGCATAGAGAAGGCTTTTCCTTTCTTGAAGCCCCTTATAGAAGTGTATGTCTCTGTCTATCTTTCATGAATATATCAACCTGTTCTGTCCCGCTGCCCCGTTGATAAAATCTCTTACGTTTTTTGGTCTTTGTGAACAGGAAATTGTTAAAGTCGATCATCCAAGGTTTCCTTCCCGGAATCGCTTTGAAGATCTTCCTCCTTTTCCTCCCAAGAATACTGATGCAAATGTCCAAATTTGAAGGTTTTGTCAGCACATCCTCATTAGAAAGAAGAGCCGCAACTAGATTCTACATGTTCCAATTCATCAATGTTTTCCTCGGAAGCATAGTCACCGGGACTGCGTTTCAACAGCTCAATAGTTTCCTTAACCAGTCTGCAAACGAGTATGTTCTTTAAAACCTTCCCTTGTCCGCATTTCACTGGGAGATATCATATCTTTCTGACTTTTTCATTTCTGCAGTATCCCAAAAACAATTGGTGTCTCGATTCCAATGAAAGCAACCTTCTTTATAACATACATAATGGTTGATGGATGGGCTGGTGTTGCTGGGGAGATATTGAGGTTGAAGCCACTCATAATCTATCATCTAAAGAACTCCTTCCTCGTGAGAACCGAGAAAGATAGGGAAGAAGCTACTGATCCTGGAACCATAGGATTCAACACTGGTGAGCCTCAAATACAACTCTACTTCCTTCTTGGTCTTGTTTACGCAGCAGTTAGCCCCATCCTTCTCCCCTTTATCCTCGTCTTCTTCGGCCTGGCTTTCGTAGTGTACCGTCATCAGGTGAAATAACTGAATCTTCCTTCTGCTTCCTTTTTCCTCCAAAGCTCGAGCGTCGTTAACTAACAATGAAGGCTCAATTTGCAGGTTATAAATGTGTATAATCAAAAGTATGAAAGTGCAGGGAAGTTCTGGCCTGACGTTCACAGGCGTGTTGTGACCGCACTGGTTGTTTCGCAGCTGCTCTTGATGGGTCTTCTAAGCACCAAACACGCTTCTAAGTCCACTCCATTTCTGCTTGTGCTTCCGCTGCTGACCATCGGGTTCCACATGCATTGCAAAAATCGTTACCAACCTGCTTTTGTAACATACCCGTTACAGGTCAGTTAATACAAAAAACAGAAAAAACTGAAGATCTCTAGTAGCTTTTGAGTGAAACGTGTAAGCTAACCCTTTCCTTGTTTCGAGCCAAAGCAGGAAGCTATGATCAAAGATACACTGGACCGCATACGTGAGCCAAACTTTAACCTCAAGGCTTTCCTTCGAGATGCGTACGCCCACCCAGAGTTCAGGGTTGGAGAAGATCCAGAGCCCGAGGAGAAGCTGGAGTCTGATATGTCACCACCGGAATTAGTGGCCACAAAGCGTGGCTCATGGAGGAATACTCCTCTGCCTAGCAAACAAAGCTGCCGTGATATACCCTAATCATTTTGCTCTGTTCTACCTTAAATGGTGATTCTTTTATATTCTTAAACAAGTTTTCCCCTCAGTAGAAGAAATGCACATATACGATTGTATTATATGCAAGAAAAAGAAAAAAAAAAACATTAGAAAAGCATACTAGAAGTTACTGTTAGAACTGTATCATATGATTTGTTAGTAGACGATATATCGAAATGTTAAAAGTTCAAGCATCATCCTTCTATGCAAATCTAGAGCAATTCTGATAAGTGTCCCATAGAGTGAAACATCACTCTTAATCCCTCTCTGAGACATTTTATCAAACACTTAAAGTGCATCAATCACTTTCCCATGAAACACACAAACCAGAGACACCAAATTGTCAGCCATTGTATAAACTGTATAAGGTAAGCCCATATAACAAATTGATTATCATGGGCCTATGGCCTTTAAGAATGTCCAAGTATAATGTCATTGTTTCTAAGAAGAGCTTGAGAAATTCGACCAGCCATGTCATCAACAAAGATTAAATGTGTTAATCCTATTTCACAACGAAAATGATTTATGAGTTATGTTTATGAAAAATAGATAGGGGACAACGAGACCATGTCATAGTCTTACCCGAACTCACGAAAAAAACCCTTCTAGTTTCTCGTAAATTGATACAATGTAACAAAGAAAAAAGGCGTGAAGATTAGATATATACACACGTAGATTCAATGTATGTCTTGTCTCAAGTGTTGTCGTTATAAAACATCATTAAAATGACCATTAATGAAGCTGAAAAATGCTTTGTCTCTCAAGTGTTGCTGTTGTTGTTGTTATAAAAGACCATTAAAAATGTGTCGAAAGCTTTTGTTATGTCAAACTTTACGGCATAACGAGACAGCTTTTGATAATCTTTAACTAGTTTTCACCAATTTCAATGAAAATTTAGAAACCCAATTACATAAGAACCTCCCTAAATTAATACTCGATAAATTAATAAACACGATAAAATAATACTTTCTCCGTTTCAAAATATAAGACGTTTTGGAGAAACTTTTTTGTTTCAAAATATAAGTCGTTTTCAAATTTCTATGTAAATTATATATTATTTTAATACTTTATAATTATTTTTATTATACAGTCTCTTTTATGATTGGCTGAACTTTTAAAAAGTAGATCTTCTTAATCGACGTGTTTTTAGCTAAACGCCTTATATTTTGAAACGGATGAAATATTTTTTTCTCCGGATCAACGTCGGGCTAATATAAAAATTAGTAAAATTCGATAAGATAATAATTTTTTTGGAATCTCTATGTAGATTCAATGTATGTAAATTCGAGATATATGATCTCATTAATACCATAAATTAAAAATCATATAAATTTACATACATATATATATATATATATATATTATATGTTGATATATAATGTATGCTATTAGTGTTTTTTAAAGAAATTGTATTTTCGTTAGAACTCATCTCTAATTTTATTATATAAAAAAATTGTTATAATGTGTTGTTAAACTATAGTGTTGTAGTATATTTTATAACTATGTCATAAAAATACCCAAATTTTTCAGTAAGTTTTCAATTTTGAATGTGTATCATTTTCATTTTGATAGTTTTACATATGTTAAAATATGACTGTTGAGGTTAATAATCTGTAGTTTGATAGGTGTTAAACTACAACATATTGGATCATTAATATATCGTTTATTTGTCAACAATTAATATATCGTTTGTATACGTGAATTTATCTAAACTCTTTGTAATTTATTGTTGAAAGAGTTTTTTTCTTTTAGCTATTAAAATTTCAAGTCTAAAACTACAAAAATTATAACATCCAAAACATTAATTTTATTTAAACAAAAGTGTCTCAATTTATTTCTTTCTAAAATTTTATGAATTAAAACAAAAAACTCTTTATATATTAATAAATATTAACTAATACTATAAATTAATAAATATTAATTTATAGATAAATTAATATCACTATAAATTAATAAAATATCATGGTTCAACATTATTAATTTATAGAGGTCTTACTACTTGGGTTTCCTCTAAATAAACCTTTTTTCTTTCCATTCATTTTTTTTTTTCAAAACCTTAAACCAGAAACCAATATCCAAAAACTGAAAAAGCCAAAAGCCAAAATCCAAAATTCATTGATAAGTACAAAAGTTTTTGGTTTTTAATGTTTTGGTTTTTGCAATAGGTTTTAGTTTTTTTTTTTAAGTTGAGTGGTACCCTTTTAGTTTTAGTTCCTATTAATTTTAGAAACTTGATCTATAAAGTTTTTGGTTTTATTGTTTCGTTTTTCAAAATTATTAAAATGAAACAGCTTTTCAAGCAGCAACCAAAATGATAGGGTTTTTTGTTTTTCTTAAGAAAATGATTGAAAGAAAACAAACTGAAAACTATTTTACCAAAAATCTAGAATGGGTAATACTTGGGTTTTTGAAAAACTCAAACCAAAGACAATCATATGGTCTACTATAACTAAGCCTAGGACTGAGTCTAGCACATTGTAGTTGTTGTAAGCTTCTGAGAGAGTAATTATTGAGGGCTGGATTTATAAGGCTGTCTTGGTAGATCATTGAAAGGGATAGATTTTCTAGTTGGTTTGGGCTTTTGGTGGGAGCTAGAGTTGAACATTTAAATTAATTAAGTCTCTCTGGTTTAGTGAATTGGATACAACCTAGTTTTACAGCTTCTATGCTTTTTGTATTGCCATGCATCAACCACTCCATGGCATGGACAATTTACTATCCACCGTTAGAACATTGAGTGAGCTGCTCGGTCATAGTCGTAATAGTCAGGTTTGTAGTTGTAGACATATCAAGATTTCTGTCTAGTCTTTTTTTTTTTTTTTTTTCTGATAAACCCTATCGGCTGATCCGGTCAGTCCCGGTAACCGAAGTGCTTAAGAGTGGACTTCTCTCCGAAGAGCCACCACACTGTCTGTCCCGAATTTGGAATGCTTTCCGACTAATACCAGGGAGTAGCCAGATCGCCTGTTACTGGATTACCAGATAAACTGCTTGATCCAAGCCCAGACTTCCTACACAAATGTGTTTTTTGTTTCCAACGTAGATCGAACCTGGGTTAGTTCTTTCAAACTTTTCCCCAATTCTCAACAACCACTGGACCACAGCTGTGTGGGCATTTCTGTCTAGTTCCTATATCAAAGGTTGTGGTATATCTCTACATTCTAAGATTTATATATTATTTTATTTTTTTTGCAAAATCTTAGATTTATCTTTTTTTCAGAGATATCTACCACAATGCATAGCAATATCGACGTGATTGGCCCTGAATCAAGTCTTATCCTAAGCAACGCTTGAATCGGCGGATAGCTTATTTATGATTGCAATTTACTCTCCCATCGTTGTGTTCAATAATGTAAAGTCCTTTTAAAAGCTGACACAAAGTTGACATGCATGATGGTGCAGTCTTTGGAACTATATTATAAACGGAGTGGTGTCTCATGGACCATGCAGGGCGTTAGTACAATATGTCGGTTGAATATATCTATCACTGAGTCGGGACCATATATTTATGTTACTTGGGTTTTCTTTTTTTCCAGTGCTAGAAAACTTTCTCAGTCTTCTCTCTCATTGATTAGCTTCTAGAAATATATTCATATGCTCATAAACGTAAAATCATGTCTTTTGAGTGGCGAAAAGCCGAAGTCGGAAGTGTTTAGTTTAGGGTGATTGTTTTTTTTTATCTAAAGTTTAGGGTAATTTCTGAAATGGGTTTTGCTTCAGGTTACTGTAGGTGGAATCTTCCGATACATATTTGGAGAGGAGCCAAAGAAAGCTAGGTTTATTGTTGATTCTGAAAATCACACAATAAATTTGTTTAAAGAGGGAAAACAAATTCAATTAACTCTCTTGTTATTTGCGATCAAAGACTCGAAGAAAAGGGTGAATTTTATTGTTTAGAGACAACGCTAGGGTTTAGCTCAAAACGATTAGGGTTTTTGTGTAAAAGTTGCGGATCCCCTAAAATAGAGGACACCCCTCTATTTATACATAGCTAATGACGTTACGTTTTAGAGATATGTTAATCTTCTAAATCCTCGAGGCCTTATCTTCTGATTTTCTTTTCTTTTCGGGATTCTCCATTCCTTTTTAGGAAAATCTCCTTTTTCTCGAACAAGATGTCGGTTTAGGCGATCTCCTGTCTTTGGACCGAGATCGCCAGGCGACCTCTTGTCTCTGGCCCATTATCAGGCCTAACCGGGATTTCCTGGTTTAACTGAATTTTCAGATTTATTCGCAATTCGTCCGGTTTAAGTCGGTTTAAGTCGGTATTATCGGAGGTGCTAATTCCTTCACTAACATTTATAGAATCTTATAAGATTTTTTGGTCATTGTTACGAATTTTTGAAGTTGTATAAATATAGTCAAGTATCTCATTCACCGACTTAATAGACGTAAAACATGACACTATTTCGTTTGTTCAAAAAGAATAGTTTCATAAATTTTACGTTTTAAGAGAATCGATCTCTGAGACCTAAACCTACGATTGCTTCTCAAATAGAAACCACTAGATCAGTACCACTTCATTAACGCTTATTGTTAATTTCATGAATATTTTCCACGATGAAATCTTTTAACTATTTAAACCCGAGAAAAACTGTTGTTAGACACAAACATGCAATATTTATAGTTCTAACAGACTAGAACTACGGACTTTTTACATATTACAATTTTTCATTGTTCTATCATTATGTGAACACGTCCTTCTTGCTCCAGAATTACTTTGTTTTCCTTTTCAAAGAACTGTTTTATCTAACATATGTAAGCTTATCATTGGATTAACGTCATATCTGAAACATTATTATGTAACCAGTGTTGGTTACTTGACTTTATATTGGAGAGTATACAACGGTTTACTCGGTTATGTACATATATTTAGATTAGTAGACCGGTTTACATTAAAACCAAGTGTATATATATACTGTGTACAGATTACTTGATAAATAAGATGAGAAATTCTCTAACAAACTTTTCTCTCTCGATCGTCTTCTTCTCTCTCACTAATATGGTATCAGAGCCATCAAAGCTCTTTTTCTCTTGATTCCGCTTCGATTTCACTGTTTTTGAGCTCAGATCTTGCTTAGTTCTACTCGATTTTAGCTCAAATGGTGATTGCGATGAAGATTCTTCGCCGATCAAATCGGAATAAAGCTTTGACATCGTCAGTTGTAGTTCGACCTCGTAAAACATCTCGATCTAC